TTCAAATTTTCCAAGTTTCAACGAAATCGGAGATTTACACCTAAAAAGGTTCCCTTGTGAGCAAAGTATCTCTGTCGAAGTGCTAAAGAGAGAAGCTTGCAGTGGAACTTTGTCTCACAACCCTAGTACCTGCTGAAAAACTGAAGACTTAAGTAAAGATGTAAAGCTTTTTATGTTCATTGGTCTCAGAGTTGCAATTTTAGATGTATCTATTTGTCAGTCACAACGCGACTTTCCTTACAAAATGTAAATAGTGCCAAGCCTTTCGTACATGTAGAATAAACAGCTGTTAAAAAAAGAGATTCATTGTGTTATTATTTAAACCACAGGATTAGCAGAAGTAGAAGACCTAGAAATGGTCCAATTCAGAATGCAATATATTATTAACAGCCTGGAATTTATTAGGTATCTCCATAGAAAATAAGTACAGTACTTCAGCAGCTGGAAAATGTTATGGTAGTTCTTTCTTCCTCATCAAATGAAATAAGTAATATTGACCCACATATCAATGAATGATCAATAAATATTTGCATACATAAAAAACAAAAACATATTTACATACACAAATTAGTAGGTCTTGAACAGAAAGTTTGAAAGCTAACATTTTAAGCATTTACAATGACAGCAATCATTTACAGTCAGTCAGACAAAATCTTCCATGCAAATTTACGTTCTGTTTATGGTCTCTAGTGAAAAGGATAAAAATAAAATAAATGAGTATAAGTTCTGTTAATACAACCTCATCCACACAATGTGTCACACCAGTTGCTCTCATACGCTTCAATTTCCACATGATTTCTTTAAAAGTGTAAGTTACCTAGTACCATCAAAATTGTGGCTTTTACACATATGCATCTAAAATTATAGTTATGTTTTGACTCAAAAGTAGATAGAATTTGACAAGGATGGTGAAGCGTTGTTACAGTTTAGTATCTTATAATAAAACAAAGCTCCACAGTGTCTGAAATTAGATGGTAATGGTACTCATTAATTGAAAGGTTCCTATCTAGGGGGATGTGCAGCAAACTCAGTATGTTAGCATCTACAATACAATGTGTAAAAATAATCCAGACAAAATATCCGACTTCATGATTTCATAATCATAGTTCTTTACAAATTTCAAGAAATAGTGCCAAATTTTACAATTGAGGGACAGATCATCTTAATATTCTCAGAATGAAAAAGAATTTCTCAGCCAATGCCTGTGTTAAGACGCTAAAATACCCAATTGGCACAGAATAAAGATAACACTTATTCACTCTCAGCACAAATACCATCCTTCTAAAAACACAAAATGAGTAAACCCACCTAACAATCATTTAAATCTTTGATAATTCAAGGTTACATTACATGACTACATTATTTGGTATTACATGTATGCGTCGCAATGGAGCTATTGCATGGACAAGTTTGTTTAATCATGAGCGAAAAAGTAGTTCAGATAAGAAAGAAAATATTTGCAGCAAATGCATCAAAATACGTTAAAAATACATGTCCTGTCTCTTTCATAGCCGAAAGTATAATACTATAATAATTAAAAAGCAAATCAAAATCACAAAATACAAATAGTTTCAACAGCGACAACTAGATGCATAAACTGTTCAGGACACTGTTCATTGGATATTCATAATTCACATTCCAAAATTGAATGACGATCAAGATATAATATGAATGTATCATAGGAAACGCAGAGGATCACAGTTATTACCAAACCAGCATGAACACAAATCACAGTAAGATCTGAAAATCTGTCTTTCAAGAAGAGCCAGGTTTTTGGAACTGCTAACTAATTTGAACAGCTCACAATTAAAAAGGTAACACATGCCAACATCAATACAACTGCTTGAAATGTAATAGCGGAAGCAATAAGTTATTATTTCGATAGTTTAAAAGCACCAGATCAGTTCAAGCAGTAGCTGAGTTTGGCATAAGAGGAATAAAAAAGTTCAATGTAAAAGATAAGTAAAAAAGGAGAACAGAAAAAAAGCAGCCAAAATTGTTCACTTTACATCTTTCAGTCCATTTTAAATAGGAATGTTTACAGCCACATCACTCATGAGACTGTGGTTCATTAACCACAAAATTATGCTTTTATTGTTTCTTTAAAATAATTTACGTTACAGGTAGTTTGATTAAGGCCTTAAAGCGCTAGTCAACAACAATCGCTTACATTTATGGCATCTTAATACGATTTGTGCACCGCAGGCAGCATGGCTAGCTGGCACGGCAGGGAGCGGCCTTGCCAGCAGAGCGCTCACAACCGTGTCAGTTTGTTTTTCCTTAAATTACAAGGGCCATATCCTTTTTGCTAGGAAGGTTGACTTTTTTCCCTTGCCAGAGACTGTTGTGAATGGTGAAGGCGTCAATTGTCACAGTAAGGTGCTTGGTGTGCACTTGAGAAAAGCATTTGCCTCCAGAGTTATATCTGAAAATATTAAATTTAATATTAAAGGAAAATGAGACAATTCAAAGCAACTATGTGGTTTAAATCTCAGGGTTTTACTTACTTAAAGAAACGATCAAACATGCGGTCTGTAACTTGCTTTGGGCCAGTGCCATACAATTTAAGAATTTCTTCTCCTTCAGGGCAGTATGAATATAACGCTCGAAATTGGAGGCCAGCATCTCTAAATAAAATAAGGAAGTGCTTCGCCTCTGATCGACCAATCTCTTCCAGAACTCTTCTTTTAGCTTCTTTATTTACTACTCCAGGAAAGACACAGTACTCAACAGCATTCAACAGAATACCACGATTTGATTTTGTTGCAGGTTGCTTGTAGAGACGAGGACCTAATAAGATGAAAAGTTTTAGTAAGATTAGGTCACAAACAGCGTGAACTATTTTCCAGCTTAATTTGAAACAAAAAGGAAAAAAGAGTCTACCATTATAATCCAGCATTGAGCTTGTAGCTGAACTAATATCACTTGAGCCATCATCAAACATTCTCCTCTTGGATGTAAGGCCGGGAGGAAGAGATCCTGGTCCTAAATGTTCAAATATTGGTTCATTAGCAATTTTAGATGACACAAAGAGGTGGATGCATAATTTGAAACTTAAGTGAAAAGGTGAACAAAATCTATGTCAAATAAAATTCAAAACAATTTCATAACAAAATATTTCAAAAGAACTACTAATTATAGATTTAAATAGTGATAGCATAATCAAAAAAATCAAGCAATTGCAAGAAAGAACAAATTTATAAATTCAACTACAGAAGAACTTCCACACATCTCTAAGTTTGCCACCACACACTACCTGAGGGAGAAGTGAGGTGTCGGCCTGAACTCATGCCAGGGGATGGAGCTCGCCGAGGTGGTGTGGCCCGGCCCAGACCTGAGTCTGTATCAGTGTAACGGTACACCATGCTGTCCTGGTCTGTGCTCGAACCTGCACACAAACCACCAAGCGTGCTACAAACCACCTTAAGTGCATTACATCACATCACTTCTTCTACTTTTGTACTTCTACAACTTATTAAAGAAGATAAAATTTATAGTTATAATCATTTACAATCCCAAAACCTTCAGTTGTATAAAAATACATTAAAAGTCAGTCCTAGAGGAAAACAAAAAAAAGGGATGAACAACCACAAGCCCTAGTAAGCAAAACAATGTTGTACACCTGTGAATGTACACATTCATTTCATGAAGGAAATAACATGTCATGAGACATGTAACTTTAAGGGAATGCACTTGCTATAAAATAAAAATGACTATACAACAAAGCTTTGAAAACAAAGGACAGTAGGAAAGACAGCCCACTCCACCACCCGAAAACAAAAGACAATAAGGTAAAAGAAATAACTATCAGATCAGAATATATGGCATGCAGAGTCATTACAAAATTGACTTTTCAACAATCGCCTCACATTAATCTAAAAACATTATCTGAAAGGTACTTCTCGTTGGAAAATATGAAATTTTCCCAATATGTCCACCTAGCTATACAAAAAGTTGTAGGTTTTTCATATATTTGTTTTACGATAACAAAAATAATAAAGGGGAGTCCAGTTACGACTTAATATACATCAAAAGAAAAATGAAGATGAGATAAAGGTCAAATAATTTGCAAGGTTTTTAAAAGAGGAAGTAAAGCATCTAATCCTAAGATCTTGTATGTCAGTTGTAGTACTGAAGAATAGCCTGCATTTTGCTAATCACAAGAAAATTATCGTCATTGTGCTGCTATACTATGCCTAAAATAAATAAGGAGGGAATTTCAACCTTTCTTGGACATTCTACTCTGAGGTTATCTGACATTCTAGCT